TTTCCCTCGTTTTCCTTTTCTTGTTTGTGTTTGTTTGTGTACAAAAGATTTGAAATGAATAGAGGGACATTGTCTCAAACGGTGATGAATCTGCCGCTCTGTGTGGCTGCAGTCCGAGGTGAGATTTCAGTGTCTATTTAGCGTTTAACTGGGTATCAAATCTGATCGCTCTCCCTCTAAGGCCCCCTGTGTAGTCGTGATGTAGTTCTTATCAAAGCCCTCCTGTCTTGTTGTGACAGCTCTGATATTGTTTATTGAGGTGGATGTCAGGTTTAATTAGCAATCGATATGGAAAGCGTTTTCAGACCACGTCTCTGACGTCAGCGCCGATTAACGCTTCTCATTGGTCTCAAATTCCCAGAGCCTAAGCTAATTATTGGAAGCTTCGTGTTGATAAAGAACAGCTCATCCTACTCTCCACATCATGTCCCCTCCTCGCCGGCCACTCTCGCTGCATGTTTTTTAAATTCACATCACCAACCACCAGACGTCGTTTCCTTTTGCCTGGGAGATGATGGACAGCAGGATACTGGATCCACCTCATGCCCAGTTCGGAGGCTCGCTCGGTGGGATGGTGAGCTTTCCGTACCATCTAAGCCACCATCATGTGTACGAATTAGCCGGTCATCAACTTCAATCTACAGCCGCGGTTCCTTTCTCAATAGACGGATTACTTAACGGCTCCTGCACGGCTTCTGTGGTGAATTCTAACCCCCTCTTGTCGTCTGGCTGCGGTATGAATGGAGATAACCAGCAGTACAAACTGACAGGTAAGCAAACAAACCCATGCCTCTAACTAGCAATGCGACTCGGACAATAACGGGATAAATTCATGTTTTTGTTGTAATGTTCTAAAGCAAATATTGTTATTAGTCATAAATCTTTAAATAATTGCCCGAGGAAACAAAAGAAAGCATTCACCCGTTGTTCAAGCTAGTTTAGTAGTATTTAAGAGACTGACTTAAAAAAAAAAAAAGAATAGCTTGTATAAAATATTTTACACAATCGCTGACAGCACCTATACTTCTTTTTTCTTATGTTCTTATTTTTGTCATAAAAAAATAATAATCCATGGCTTTCTTTTTCTCGTTTTCCTTTCTGACACATAAACTAGCCTAACAGTAAAGGCTCATGCAGAAAAAAAAACACTAACAAAATATTTAAGTTGACCCGCTGTTTTGGTGATCATAATAACTGTGCACGGTATACGCGATGTTAATTTATTGTTTCTTACATAGATTCGGGGGATCCAGACAAGGATAGCCCGGGTTGTAAAAGAAGACGAACTCGTACCAATTTCACTGGCTGGCAGCTGGAAGAATTAGAGAAGGCTTTTAATGAAAGTCACTATCCAGATGTGTTCATGAGGGAAGCACTTGCTCTAAGATTGGATTTGATAGAATCAAGGGTGCAGGTAAATACACTTAAATAGTTTTTCACATGCATGGTGTGCAGGTATTAAAATCACATGAATTTAAATATTTTGTCAACACAAGATGGTTTATGTATAAGCCCGTTTTTATTTCTGCTTAGTGTGTTTGATTCACAATAGTAATAATTTTTGTACTGCTAATTTTAGAAATTGTTGTTTTAAATTTACACTAGCTTCTGTATTTATTGACAAGCTATCATGGGTTTGAAATTGTCTTTCGTTTTATACTGTGTTTCGAAGATAACACAGTATAGGCCCTCTTTTCAGAAAAAAACAATATACACAAAATGTTTAATATAGTATTACCATCTTATACAGTTATTTTAGTGAAGTTTTTTTTAATTCGAGGTAAAATTTAAATGAATTATTTTACATAATTCTTAAAAAAAAAAAATAAAAAAAATATATATATATATATATATATATATATATATATATATATATATATATATATATATATATATATATAAATATATATATATATAAATGTAATAGATGCAGGCTGTGATCTTATAAAATCTCATCTGAACAAAGCACATGTTTCAGTGTGTTTGTCTGTTTATCTTAACAGTCTGAATTAGCAGAAACATTTGACCTATAAATCAAAACCCATTGCATAAACACTGTATGTCGCATGTTGTAATTAATTTATGTTATTGGATGCGGCCTGCCTTTGGAGCAGCATTCACGTTTATGTGTGAGAGGGGTATCACTATTATTTTGAAATTGTGGTTGTTTGGATACTTAAGTTTAATTTTCAATGTATTACAACAATACTACAATTCTAATACAAATTAAATTAATATACAACTCCTCATAAAAAGACTGGCATTGCGATTTTTTCTAAATACATAATATTTATATATAATAATATTTATAATTACTTTGAAACTACATTTATATATATATATATATATATATATATATTCATGTAGGTGTGTGTGTGTGAGAGAGAGAAAGAGAGATTTTTTGTACAAGTTAGTATATGTACATGACAAATATAATTTACATTGCGATTTATAAGTCTTATATTTTATGTACTTTTTATAGGCTATATTTTGACAGGCCTAGAAATATTTTACAGACACGAAAATTAATGTTTCTTTTTTCGTGTCTAGGTATGGTTTCAAAACCGCAGGGCAAAATGGAGAAAAAAGGAAAATACGAAAAAAGGGCCCGGGCGACCTGCACACAACTCTCATCCAACGACCTGCAGTGGTGAGCCAATGGACCCAGAGGAAATTGCACGCCGAGAACTAGAGAGGCTAGAGAAAAAGAAAAGGAAACAAGAAAGAAGGCTTTTAAAGTCTCAAAACAAACTCCTTCCCGGGGACTTATTTCACACCCCAGGATCTGATAGTGACAGTGGCTTGTCACAAATTACGGACTCTGAACAAAGCCTCCATTGCGACATGGGCCGAAACCAAACGCAACCAAGCTGTGACCAAACTCCACAGAAACTCCAGAACCAAAGAAACGCAGACCAAGACGCGAGTGGATCCGAGCTGGACTCGTCCGACAGCGGTCAGCAGTCAAACCTGTGCTCCAACAGTAGGTCTTCCGCTCTTCAAAAACTGAACCCTTTCAGTGTGGAAAGCCTCCTGTCAGACTCCAGGCCGAGGCGCAAGCCGCCCATGGACTTTCCAGTGCCGACTCCACGACCTTTGATAGGCAAAGGACATTTTTTACTGTACCCAATTACACAACCCCTCGGTTTCATTGTTCCACAGACTGCTTTGAAGAGCACAGCACCAGGTCCTGATACTGAGAATGGCCAGAAAGGGCCTGCTACTGACATTACATTTGCTGGAAACCCAGGACACAGGAACGCCAAGGAGAACAACAGTGTAAACAACAACAGCGGCGCGCGAGCAATCAAAGGCCAGGTCAGTCAGTCGGGCAACATATCGTGTTCAACACAAAGCAGTTCACCACAGACTACCATTAATGGTCACTCGGCGGGCAGCTGTAACGAAAGATGCCCACAAGATATAGAGTTAGAACTCGTCGATCCAAAGTCTCCACAGTCGGAGAAAAAGGAGCAGTCGTTACCAGACTATCCACCACAAAATTCAGAATCAGCGACAACCAGCAAGGACACCGACAAAGACTCAGTCGACGTCGATATGGAATAAATGAAATCATAGTAGAAACCGAGGAGCGTGTCGATAAGTGAAGAGGGGAAAAGTCGTCATATCGAAACGTATCGTTTTCATTGACATATTTATATTCTGGTTAGGGGAAATATCTGTGTGAATAATTTGTGTATGTGTGTGGTGGGCTATCAAATGTTTATTGAACAAATAGCAGCAGCTCCCTGTATAAGAAACTGTTAAAAAACCCAAGACAAAACCTCAAACGTTGTACAAAGCATTAAGATATTTATATATGTAAGTTTTTCATAAATAAATCAATTGTATACAAAAAACTTACGCGTGCATGGCCCTAAATAGAGCTCATATTGTGGGCTATAGCTCCTTCTGCCAAAAACCCTGTGTTGTATTTTGTGTATTGCTTTAACAAATTTATTCATCTATAAGCTACACTGAAATGAGGTTACGAGCCGGAGGCGAAAAGACCCGTTCGACTCCTGCAGAGTTTTGATATGAAAGTAATTATTTTCCCGGTGGCTACTGCAGGGATTCAGTTTATTTTAGCCCAAAGGGTTATAATACATTACCGATTTCTAGTGATATGAAATCACATAAACTTCCAAGAATAATAGAATTAGCATGAAAGGCTGGGGTGTCAAATTGAAATACGAAAATAATAGCCCCGGCAGCTGGGAGTGTGTTTGTGCATATTGGATAGGAGATGGGAATTCGTGGGGCGGAATTTTCATGAGCTTTTCACTTTGTCAGGGCCCTTGTAGCTGGCTATATTAAGATAGATGTTCGATGATATCCCTCATTGTTCTGTCGCTTATATTGATGTTCCTGTGTTATCAGCCTATTGATCATGCGTCGGCTGTAATAGGACGGGCGAAGCAAACGTGCCTATTTACAATAGCAGAACACATTTGTTCTAATAGGGTTGGCGGTCCCATGGGACCCTGTGGGGGCTCCCAGACATCTGCGCCTTGACAATATTAGCACTGTTGACCAGATATAAAGGCGAGGTAAGAAAAACAGGCAATAAAAAAAAAACCACAGGATCATTTTCATGATAAATATAGCTGGTAAATACTAATAATGAATTAGCATTTTAATTTTCCAGAGTGTTTAATTTGGTCATACAGGCGCGTGTATTGTCTTCTTAAACATCCTCTGGTCGTCTCACTTCCACTGGGTCTTGATTTGCAAATAAATTGAAAATAATCAGTGAGGCCGGCGCAAATGAATTTCTGAGCCAGTGTCTCTTTCATAATATTTGCATAATTTTCACCAGAGACAGACTTAAGGCTTAGCATATGGCGTCCAGGGCAAATAGACTACAGAAGTGGGTAAGATAAATCACAGAGGAAGAACACAGAAGATGTCAGGACAATCAATAAGAACATATTTTACACACAATGCAGCGAAATGATTGTGTCTGTGCAAAATAAACAATTATTTATTTCGTTTCATAA